GCATCCCTAAAGAGTTCATTTGAATGCTTGCCTGCCATCTCTAGCTTGAAAAATCTCCCTAGAGAGGGTTCAGTCTTACTTATGAAGTGAGAAAGTAATCTACACGTGGCTTTCGAATGAGAATGATTCAAAGTTGTATTTTAGAACATATTTATCCGATTGTGTTTGATCAACACAATACTTGGCAGTTTAGCAATTGCTCTGTGCTAAATTATGCAGTGTAGAACAAATCAAAATATCATGCTGAATGTCAGATTAAGAGCTGTTTAGACAGTCAATGTCTTGTGATGATACACAATGACAGTGTCAGGTATTACACAGCACATATGTTCACATTCACAAGAGGAATAAATATGCACAGGTATGCTATTAAAATAATCTCTATATATTGACCTAGATCATTTAAATACTATGAATTTTGTTCTTATCTTAAGTTCTTATTTTAATATTCCCTGTGGCATTTATTTATTGATTGATTGATTGATTTTCACAATGACAACTTAATAGGGTAGTTCACATAAAAATGACAAATTCTGTCATCATTTGCTCACCCTCACGTCATTCCAAAACATATTCCAAATTCGTGAATCTTCCAAGCAACTCTTCATGCCTCTCAACTTCCTGCTAAAGTTGTCCCCGTTGCTGAAGAGCAAGTAATTGTCTGTCTAGCTGTTAAGACCTTGTAGATCGTAAAATAAATGTCTCTGAGTTTTTCTTGGCCTTCTGAGGGAGATTTGGGCAGTGAGGCATGGACAGCTTTATTGAGAAAGTTTTGTGACCACACAGTGGCAGAGTTGTGTGTGTGTGTGTGTGTGTGTGAGACAGAACGAGAGCTGTAGATGAAGAAAAACAGCCCTGTGGGGACCCTTTCCCCATCCATCCTCTGTGACTTTCAAACAGCCTTTTGTTCTAATTGCTCCCTCTCTCAGAAGTTTTAGAAAGGTGACTTAGAGACCCAAAGGACATTTAAACCTAAAGAGATGAAACTGTCCCCAGGGAAGTCACTTCCTCCCAAAGTGGGTTTGTTAGGTCAGGACAATCAACTACAGTGAGTACATACTGTAAACCCCTCTGGAAATGGACAGTAATAAAGGTCTTAGTACTAAAATTTAATTCAGTATTTTCAATAACTAAAATCTAATTCAAAATATTAACAAAAACTATAATAGTATCTCAATCATACTGAAGTGCAACAGTGTTATTTTCATATCATTGAGACGTTATTATATTTTTCTGTTAATATTTAGATTTTAATGATTGAAAAAATATTGAATTCGATTTTAGTTAAGTTTTTGATAATTTTGTTGTTGTTGTATTTTTCATTAATCTTTGTTGTTTTTAAATATGTTTATATAGTGCTTATTAAATTCAGTTAAATTAAATATTTTAGTACAATCGTATTAAACTAAATGAAAATGAGAAGTGTAGCCTGGGCAAACTAGCTGAAATAAAATAAGTTTAGTTTTTTTTTAATATTTAAATTTATTTCAGTTAACATTTATTTTATTTTTAAGTAACAGCATTTTTATGGATTTAGTTTGATTTACCTATAATAACCCTGTTTGCATTTTGGCTTAGAATTTTGGCATGTGCATAACTACATATTTTGAAAATATTCTGAACAACTAGTCGATTAAAACAAAAAATAAATAAATACAATTCTAGATGAACGAGTCAGTGTCATTGTTGTTGGGCAAATAGTAAATCATCACCATATTATATATGGCCAAAGAGATTTCTTGGTTGCATGCTATTTCACAAATCCCACAGCCATTTTTATGTCAATTTATCTTTATCTTTATATATACATATATATATATATATATATATATATATATATATATACACACACACGCACACACATGCATATAAAGTTAAAACTTTAAACTATTAAGTCATGAGTTTGTTCAGGTGGTTTTACTCTTTTTACTCTTCGATTGTGCTCCGTCATCAGTTTCATCCTGGCAAGACAAATGGCCTCTTCAGGCTTGGCAGAGGCGGCGAATGGTCCAGCAATCCAAAAAAAAGCAAAAGATTTAGCAATCTTTGCATTTTTTGCTTGCCAATGAAAGTGCTTTTAATGAGTTCCAGTTCCTGACCAAACAAAGCTCATATCCTCAGCTTGTATACAAGACTTGCTTCTTTTCGTCAGAAAGTGAATTATGGGCTTACATTATCCATAGCAAACTTAAACACTTACACAGCGTGATGCTTTGATGGCAGCGTGTTTACACTGGATAAGGCTTTTGTAATGTTCCTCTAGACTGATCTGAGTGTGTGAGCGCTGCGGACTGGAAATGGAGCCGAGAGAACAGTTGCGGGATTTTTTTGTTTGTTTTTGCCTTGAGCAAAAGCAGTGTTTCTGAAAGTCTCACAGTGTTCTCTCACTCTGTTGCCGCACCATCACCAGCATTATATGCATGTTAATGGGCCAGAATACAATTCCATGTCAGCGTAATTTCACCATGTATTAAAACGTGTTAATGGACTGTTAGCCGTCAGAATGAAAGAGAGATGGAATTGTGATGATTAAAACTGACGGTTACACTTTATTTCGATAGTCCACTTTAGACATTCTATTAACTATAAGTAACTTTGTAACTACATGTCAACTACATGTCAACTAATTCTCATTAATCTGCATCTACATGTCTACTAACTCTCAGAGTAGACTGTTAGGGTAGGTTTAGGGTTAGTAGAATAAGTTGACAAATAAAGTGTTAGAAGATATTAAGCAGACAGTCTACTAATACTCTACTAACTGCTAGTTGACATGTAGTTGCAAAGTTACTTACTGTTAATAGAATGTCTAAAGTGGACTATCGAAATAAAGTGTTACCAAACTGACTCATATAAATATATATAAATCAAAAGTTTGGGGTCAGTAGGATTTTTTAAATTAATTAATTTATTTATTTGTATTAATACTTACTCAGCATGGATGCATTCAATTGGTCAAAAGTGACAGTCTAGAGTCTAGACACTTAAAATGTTACAAAAGATTTTTATTTCAAGTAAATGTTGTTCTTTTATTATTCATCAAAGAATTCTGAAAAAAAATCTGTGCAGCTGTTTTAAGCATTACTAATAATTAAAAAAAAAAAAAAATTGAGTACCAAATTTTAAAATGAAATATTTCAAAATGTTTTTGTTTTTAATGTATTTTTGATCAAATAAATGCAGCTTTGGGTCGCATATAAGAAAGTTCTTTCAAAAACATAAAAAAGACTCCAAACTTTTGAACGGTATTTAGCTTTGGGGTAAAGTTTTTTTAACCAATAAGTGTGAAGTGATTGAGGAGCGGAAAATGGAAAATCCGGCGAGGATTTGGAACGGCGTGATTACAGACTGCTTTTGGCGGGGAGGGAAATTGCCTGTCGCTCCAATCCGCTCACACCACTGCCGCTGATACAGATGATTAAACAACTGCTTTCACTTGAAACCCTGGACCTCTGCAGTCTGTTTTGGATGACTGAGAGGAAGACATCTGAGAGATGAGCCGTGGACAATGTCCTCTGAGAAGCTGCAGAAGATCAACCACACACACTTCCTGAAGCATCAGAGCGTGATTTCTGCTATCTGCTGAATCCAAAACCAGGATGGTATTGGTGAAATATGACTTTGAATTCACTCTGATGTCATGTCAGAGTGATTGAGTTTCCGAATGTTAAAATCGACCCATGTCTTTGTCCATTTTAAGCAATGAAATGGCAGGCCTTCGACATTTAAAAGTACATCATTCTGGTTCCTGCTTCATTTTTCTGTTTGAAAAGTCACTTTATTATAGCCAGTGTTACCTGGTTCACTTTGTTTTTCAGTGTTTTGCAAAGAAGTATAGAGGTGAATAAATAGAAATTAATTATCAACAACAAAAGCCGCACATGGATCCATGTTGGCACTATGAGTGTTGCCATAGAGACTAATCATTTCAGAGTGCGAGTACGTGAACAGCTGAGAGCAGAATCAGAGTTGTTGACGTATAATCATGCTAATTCAGACATGACGTGATGCTATTTAAATGTTAAAAGATCCCGTAAACCCTTGAAGGGTCATTTATCTTCAAATAAGGAAACGAAGCATGAAGTCACGATGTCGGGAAGGTCATTTTTTGTTTTCTCTTCCAAATAAATTTGAGATGTTTTGACCAAAACCACCTTTGATATCCATCTGGAGAACCTGAAAACGAATTATCACTGCTGTTTTTTATTAACTCTGTATAATAATTCCCTGACCAACCACGAAACACAGTGACATTTTCTCAGTAGTCAGTGGAAATGATCTCCTCCGCGCAGGAAGCATATGTTCTCTCACACACACACACACACACTATAAGCCCAGCGGTGACACCTCAGTAAATGTAACCATGAATGTGCTTTTTGTGGTCAGTAAGAAATGAATACTTTTATTCAGCGAGAACAAGTTAATTAAAAGTGACAGTAAAGACTTATACATTGTTACAAAAGATTTCTCATTCAAATAAATGCTGGCATTGAACGTTCTATTCATCAAAGAATCCTGAAAAAAAATGTATCACAGTTTCCACAAAAATATGAAGCAGCACAACTGTTTTCAACATTGATAATAATCAGAAATGTTTCTTGAGCAGCAAATCAGCATAATAGAATGATTTCTGAAGATCATGTGACACTGAAGACTGGAGTAATGATGCTGAAAATACAGCTGCACATCACAGCAATAAATTACAATTTAAAATATATTCAAATGTTCTTTTAAATTATAAAAATGTTTTTAGCTCAGCCTTGGCGAACATAGGAGACTTCTTCCAAAGACGTCAGAATATTTCACTGTCCCCAAACTTTTGAACAGTAGTATACATCAGCAACTTCTTAGACCCTTAAAAAAATTTGGTTACACAAATGTGGACTAAATGGAATTATTGAGTAACAAATTCATCACTGAGATCTCAGGTCGCACAAATTCCAGACAGAGGCAAACACTTTTAAATACAAACACAGATTATGTTTTTCTCTCTCTTTCAGAGGGGCTCAGAAATATTGCCATGGACTCCAACTCTTTAGCCATGCCCATGTCGGACCCTAATGCTTGGGCGACTGCCATGAACAACCTCGGGATGGCCCCCATGAGCATGACTGGACAACCTATCATGTCAGGTAAGCTATCAACTCACCATACTTTACAATGGCATTTCTGTATATATATATATATATAGAAGTGTAGCCTAGCACTTCTAACTACTGATTTTGGATATCGTGAAAACATTTGCTAGTGGCATACTTTTTTTTCCTGGTAGACTTCCACTCTTTTACTGATATATATCTGTGGAAAAGTCTGTTCTTGTTAGTTTTAGATGGATGGAAATTTGGAACATTATCCCAGTCATTTTCTGCTAATGTATATATTATATTTTAGTATTATTTTTATACTATTGTAGTATTTTGAATTACCTTTTATTTTATTTTAATTTTAGGAATTTTTTCAAGTGCATTTGTCATTATTATTATTAGTATTATTGGCTTTAATTAATATTTCTACTTAGCTTTATTTTTTTATTTACAGTTTTTGTTAAACCTATTTCGTTTAGTTGCCAACTCAACATTTCTCATTTTCATTCCAAGTGTATTTTTTTCCCTTATATTTATATTTGATCTCATTTCTTTGTCAGTTAACAAAATAGTTTTTAATATTTTTAGTGTTTGTTAACAACACTGGCCTGTGCTGTCATGGAAACTGCAGTGTCATTATTTGTGTCAGCTAACACTTTGTTTCACACACTCTGTTATTTTGCTGTCAGATTTCAGATGTACTCACCCCATAATCATCTTATAAAGATAGAACTGTGGACTGTTTGTATTATGATCCGGTTCTGTCTAATGGCATTTTTTCCACTGCGTGGTACGACTCTGCTTGGCACGGCTCAGTACGGCACGACACGGTTCGGCTCGGCACGGTTTGCGTTTCCACTGCAGTTCAGTACCGCTTTAGAGTGGGCGGGATTATTCACATGTCGTTATAGTTGCGCCGCCTCTACTACCACGACTCCTAAAAAAACCTTTTTCATTCCGCGTCGCCCCATCAAGCTCTCGCTGGATCCGCTCCTCTGCTATCAACGAGAGGAACGTCTGTACTTCCGCAACAGACAACAAAACTTTTTGGTCCCTGTGCTGCAGTATTAGCCAGAGACTGAGGCTGATGCATCCTGTGGGCCAGAAGCAGAGCGCTCGACTGAGTCAGCAAGAGTGTGAAAGTACCAGTGTGAAAACTTCAAACACATTCCCACAGTGCCGTCAGAGTGGCCAATTAGTTTCAGGGCTTTTTCATCTCATTGGTTAGTCGGCAGCACAATGTGAAGGAATGGCTGTGACGCTGGGAGCAGAGGCTGCGTTATGCCAGCTGGATGAAGCCGCAGAACATCTCAGCTGGTGCGCATGAGTCACTTAAACCTACACATCCACAGCGCTCATTTCAGAATTCATTTCTTATTTGCACTGCATCGTTTATTAGCGAGCGCAAAAGGTGAGCGATCCAAAATGCCATTGAGCGTCGATTTAATTCCAAAGAGATTAGAATGAAATGCAACTGCAAGACGGATGGATTTTCATTATGCTGAAATGAAAACACTAGAGGGTCATCCGACAGGCAGCAAACATCTCATTTTAGTTCTTTCTCCAATATCATTCAAAATGATGGGCTGCATTTATCAGTAAACACACCGGGCGCAGTTTATACGGGTATGTGTCTTTTTTCTTCTCAGGTTTTAGAGTCGATTCTCTGTGGAGTTTCGTAAATCACCTCCTTCGTCTTATTTAAAGTCACATTTGCAGCAGCGCAGTCGCAGATAAATATGCGCGGGTGTAGCATGCTATAGGCGCATGTTTCAAATGAAGTGGGCCGTGGGGATGCTCTAGCCACCTACGCTATTTTCCTATCAAATTTCATTTCATTTCATTACGTGGCCGCCACACAAACGTCTCGAGCTCCCATTTTGCGAGATCACCGCCCGAGAGCAAATTATGGAGTTTGCCTAGCGGTTTATAGACTGGCATTCGGAGGAGATACATACTGATGGCAATTTTATGTCAGAAAGACTATGGAGCCTTGATCTGTGAGCCATGCAATGAGCTGGAATGAAACGGCTCTTAGTGCTGTTAATGTGTCCTGGCTCCCAGGAGCTCGCTCCCCCAGTACTGTGGGTCTTTTATTCTAATCAGTCCCGCCGCCGGGATTTCTGGGAGCCTTTTTGCCTCCTCTTGCTTCCTGCCAGGCAGAGACTCGAAGAATACAGATGAAGGCCTTGAATCAGGGTGTCACAGCGGGTCACTTCTGCCACATGCGTATAGATATTTCTCAACTTTCCTTGTCCCGATTTCTTTCCTTGATTGTCATAGGCTGCTTTGCAGGAGGCAATATAAAGTACACAGCCTTTGATCTGAGCTTTCTGTTGACCCGTCCTTTCCACCGTGCTGCGGGGAGAACTGGGCTTGCACAATGTTGTTATGACCCGCTCTGTTTAGTCTGCATTGGCTCAGGCTGTGTTTTGATTGGAGGCGGAGGGAAGAGGCAGTATTGTCTGCCTCGAGTCTTACCTCATTAATCACACAGAGGGAGCAGCTGTTGCCTCCAACATCCTAACAATCTCCCAAACTAAAACTTGCCACAAACTCCATTCTGTTCCTGTACTGTGCCGCCTCAGCAAGTTGTGTGGAGTTATACGTTTATGAATATGACACTGAGTAGTCCATTCAGCCAACCGTCTAATCAATCCCGCCTCCATTACGCACAGCTGATGCCATGATCAACAGAGAGATGAAGTGCGTTTCTTTTCTAATTCAGAGCGCATATGAAAGTATACCTTTCATTGAAGGTATAGAGTTTTTTTTTTTTTTCAGTAAATTCAAAATTCTTTTTTTTTTAAATATAATTTCAACCAAACAGGTGCAATTATAGCAAGAAAGTATACCTTTCATTGAAGGTATCGAGTTTTTTTGTTTTTTCAGTAAATTCTAAATTCTTTTTTTTTTTATATAATTTCAACCAAACTGCAAATTATGCCAGTTAACATCTGTTTTTCAATATTTTTTAAATAGTAAACATGACACAACAGTAAATAGTAAATATGACTCTAGTCAGCAATATTTACCTAAAAAAAAAAATCATAAAATATTCTATTAGAAAACAAATGCCACACACATTTTTCTGTGAACATTTGTGATGATGTAAATCTCAGTCTCAGTTATTTTCGCAAAAGTATTAGGTGTGTGCATTATTTATTTTCTATGAAATCATAACTGTTATTTTAACAATGTGCGATGATTGAGTATCTAACTCACTTTGCAAACATTAAGAAAGTAGCCCCAAACAAAGCCAGAGCAGAACTGTTGCGTGTCAAAGCTCTGTTTTGAATCAGTGTTTTTGAATAAATAATTTGAGTGAATTATTAATAACCCATTCATAAAGATGCTTGCTTCCTTTCTGAATGAATCAAATGTTTTCAAAAAAAGAAAGAAAAGTTTGAGTGAACGAGCAATATTTACCTAAAAAAAAAATTCATAAAATATTCTATTAGAAAACAAATGCCACACACATTTTTCTGTGAACATTTGTGATGATGTAAATGAATTGTTCAGTCTCAGTTATTTTCGCAAAAGTATTAGGTGTGTGCATTATTTATTTTCTATGAAATCATAACTGTTATTTTAACAATGTGCGATTATTGAGTATCTAACTCACTTTGCAAACATTAAGAAAGTAGCCCCAAACAAAGCCAGAGCAGAACTGTTGCGTGTCAAAGCTCTGTTTTGAATCAGTGTTTTTGAATAAATAATTTGAGTGAATTATTAATAACCCATTCATAAAGATGCTTGCTTCCTTTCTGAATGAATCAAATGTTTTCAAAAAAAGAAAGAAAAGTTTGAGTGAACGACTCAATGACTCACTCATTACGCCTGGCAGTTTTAATTTCAAATTTAAAAATCTCATTTTATTTTTTAACATAATTTCCATTTCATTATTCAAAATTTTATTTTTAATAAATGCATTTATGCCAACTCTGATCTGCATAAAACAGTTATAAATCTAAATGCCACTTTAGATGCCTCTCCTGTGCCACTTTTGCAGTGCAAAAATGGCTTTTGTTTCATTTGACTGATAACAACCCTATAATGTCCTATAATGTGTGAACTAACCAACCACAGAGAATATGAAGAGCTTTGTGATTCCACAACAGACCTAAACTAGCTGAAGTACAAAAAAACATTGAGATATCATTTTTTTTGTCAGTATCACACACCCCTAGTGAATATTCAGTATATTACTCAGCCCTTGTAACTACAGTGTACTGTGTGTTTTTACTTGGCTTCGGTCTGGCTTGCACTTCACTGTGATTAATTATTCAGAATCTCTGACCTGCTGTTCTCGAGCGGAGGAATCGCAGCTTCAGTCCTCTCATGCCGCAGACAGCACCATTTTGAGCTGTACGGTTTTGGATTGCGGCATTGGGGATGTTGGTATTCCGAGATGGCTGGGTTCTCATGAGCCGTAAGAAGGGGTTTCGTAAATCCTATCGATGTCGTCAGATTGTGCTCCAGTAGATTTAAGAACAACCTGAAACCTCCCCACTTCTGTTGACTCTCCATTCACAGGAATATAGTATGCACACCCTCACTTCTAAGCTCACTTCCCTAGTATAAAAGAGACTCCTGTGTCTTTGTAAATATTTTCCTCCACATCCACTGAGTTTATTATTTAGCAGTTTCCCCTCTTTCTACCCTCCAGAGCAGGTTTCTCAGCTTCTGCTGTTGAGCAGATCTCACCTCATGGGGACCTGTGGGCTGAGTAAAGTGTAGCGGCTCTTGACTCTTCATTCATCTGTATAAATAAGACTTCTGCTATGAATGCATCAAAGAGATATGTGTTATTGCTCTTTTTGGGGGGGGGGTCCATAGGCCTTAACCGCAGCATATTTTTATGCCGCTCTATATTTCCACTCTCCTTAGGCAGGGAATGTGGGTCTGCTGTGTGATACATTATACTCGCGCAGCTCCGCGGGATTCATGGAGAGCTCATATTATGATCAATATCATCAGGAAAGACAGCTAATTGGAACAGACTCCAGCTGAGCTCTGCCTCTTTTATGGTTGTGATTTAAAGCCAC